AACCTTTGTACGCTCAGGCCTTCTTCAGATGTTTAGAATTTGGAAACCTTTATTTCGTCCACTGGGTTAGATTGTTCTAGTGCCATTCCGCTTCCGAATATCTCAGTTTCAGCTATTTGCTTTTAACTCAAGTCACCTTTTATTGTCCTTTTAACTCAAGTCACCTTTTATTGTCTTTTTTTTTTTTTTTAGTTGTGAGTTCAATACCTGGCCAAAGCAGAGGTGACCCATTATAACCATGGACTATTAGTGTTTAAGCCTTTTATATTATATTCTTACTCTATCCTGGACATTCAGTTCTTCCTGGATTCTGTCTGCTTTGTCCATTTCATAATGCCTGACGTCATTTGTTTACAATTGGATACGCTTTGAGCAGTTATGAATGTACGTGAGAGATTCATGGAAGATTGAAGTTTAAAAGCAGTAAAATCGACGTTACCAATCGAACGATTCTCCGTGGCTCGATCGGTTATGGCACGTCAGGCTAAATGACGGTTCCGTATAGGATACAGGTTCGATTCCTCGCGGAGAACGAATATTTTCTATGAAAAATTCTCGGACATTCAGACCGGTAAATGTCATTAATACTGTTTATTATAAAACAGGGCATTTACTTAAATATTTGTATCTATAAAAAGAATATATAAACATAAAAAACATTAATATATATATTGACCACTAATATTATCTATCTATCTATATATATATATTTCTATATGCGTATATTTCGGCAGCATGTTTTCATTGAGACATGTTTCGTTGCGTAACTTAGACATATTCTGTCTACTTATTTTCGATAGGATCCTTTCATATTCACAGATAAGCTTTTTGGTGTCATTATTGAAGGACGAGAGAAAATCGCCGTGTTGATATCAACATGGCGATTTTCTCTCGTAAACTCTAAGTAGACAGAACATATCTAAATCATTCATCGATATGTATCTCAATATATATATATATATATATATATATATATATATATATATATATATATATATTATTGACCGATTTTATCATTGTGATATTTTTTGCATTATATCAAGTACTAGCAGTAAAGCCCGGCGTTGCCCGGGGATGTAACTGTAAGAGATAGATCAAGTATCGACCATCATAAAAACTGAAAAATAAAATTGACAAAGATTATTGTTTAAGGTTGACGGACACGCATGTCTTAATTAGTTTTTTTTTTTTTACGAATTGGTCAAAGCCAAACTCAAACAAAAACATTGTTTTCAATCGTTATGAGTCTACCGATTGAATAGAATTTTATTATAAACAATTGTCTTGTAAATGGAATTTTTAAAGCATTCTGAATGTAAAAATAAAGAAAAACGTGTGCAACACAATAAGAAACACTACCTGCAAAAAAAAGTGAAGTTTTGTTGAATCGGTTGAAAAATGTAGGAAATCCGATCCCATATATAAAAAACACACACACACACACACACACACACACACACACACACACACACACACACACACACACACACACACACACACAACCTGGGTTTTATAATAAGTATAACTCGATATGAGTTGTCCCCTTTCATTCTCCTGATGCCTCTTAATCGTGTTTTCAAATTGATTTCGTGCAAAAACAATTGAATTTTTCCAATTTTTGGCTGTCAGAACCACCGCAAGGTAATTTTACACACACACACACACACACACACACACACACACACACACACACACACACACACACACACACACACACACACACACAAATAATAGTAACTATATGAGTTGTCCCCTTTCATTCTCCTGATGCCTTTAATCGTGTTTTCAAATTGATTTCATCAAAAAACAATTGAATTTTTCCATTTTGGCGCTGTCAGAACCACCGCAAGGTAATGCACACACACACACACACACACACACACACACACACACACACACACACACACACACACACAACCTGGGTTATAATCCCTTTAACCATCAATGATAATGCTCTGTTTTTTTTATCTCCCTTTAACCATCACTTCCGTTTTTTTTTGTTTTTTTTTAAATGTACTTTTTATCACATAAAATTGGGTGAGGCGCGAGCAAACTTTCGTTCCGAATATGCGGTCCAGAGAAAAAAAAAAATGAGAACCACTGCGAAAGATTTAAAAGAAAGTTCTTTTTCCCATTAAAATTGCCCTCTGAATCAGAGAGGAGAACAAAAATAAACTTTTATTTATCGTCAGAATAATCGCACTTTCCATGAGTTGAGTACAAATAAAAACCACGATAGCCACTTGGTCTAAATATCAATTCTTTAAACGACTAATAGAAGAAGAAGAAGAAGAAGAAGAAGAAGAAGAAGAAGAAGAAGAAAAAAAAAAAAGGGGGCCTGGCCTTCACAACACATTTTTAAGAGTTTAACATCCAGGGTGAAAGTTGAAATCTAATCTGGAAAATGTTAGCAGTAAATCTGTCAACATGTCTTGGAGAAGGAGGCGAAGTACAGACGAAAGCCAAGGGAAACCCCAGAATGGTTCCCCTATCCCTTCGAAGCACCTCCTTCAATTCCTAAGACAGCTTCACTTGACCAAAGCAATAAATGGAATGAAATAAAAATAAACACGAAGAAATTTGCCCATGGAAATAAAAACAAGGACTTTTTTTTCTCTCTCTTTCTCTCTATCTCTCTTTCTGATGAATTAACACAGCAGCTGAACTTACAAAGACACAAAGCAAAACAAAAACTAAAGTTAGTGAAATCTATTAAAATATGCAAAAACACTATTTTGATGCAAAAGAAATTAGTTACGTATTTCTTATCTGGTCTCATATTCTGGACACATTATACTTTAATGTCTTATTTTAAATAGACCTAATTAAAATTTTGACGTAATAGCTTTGCTAGAAACGATACCATCAGTGAAGAATTTACTCGCAAGGAAATATAATTTGAAACTGCACTGTCTTTGAAAATTGTTTATCTCCTACCATTCGAGTTGCCTTATGGTTCCTATTACCAAAGAGCAAACATATCGTCTACTTCATTGTGTCTACGTTAAAGGTGCCATACTCGTTAAAATGTTTCCTCCATTTTCTGTTATGAAAATTAACTCGAATTTCTTTTCTATTATTTTTGTTGTCACATAAGATTGTTTTATTGAAATAAAAATGTCGTCTTAAAATGATGCACAGTAAATTATGATTTTGTAACCGAAAAACAGGCGGGGGGTGGACTTGTAAATCTATTAACATCCAGTGTAGAAGTTTACCAGCTGGAATCATTAGCAATTAATAGAAACTTTTCATATTGAGGCTGCACTTAGAATCCGACTTTATGAGCGTTGCGGTGTAATTGATATAGGCTCGAAGTTCGAATTCCAGTCGAGTTCGTTGGATTCCCCCGCGCAAAAATATCCATCACCCCTACCCCACCCCCGGATGACTTGAATAGCAGGACAAACTGGATTCTTTAGACTTGGTAGGCAACCAGTCTACCGCAGAAAGAAATGGCAGCGTACTGCGGGAAAAATATGCCTCGTCAGTCATGTATCGAAAGATGCACGATCACCCAAGGGTGTATCGCGTATGACACTTAACTGACTGACTAATGGATTTGGCTTTATCAAAGGGTCGGTATTAAATGACCCACTGAAATTGATATGCCGTAAAACAAAAAAAACAAAACAAAAAAAACAATTTATCAAAGAAATTATGAAATTTATTTAACAACCCTCTTGATTTAATTTCTTCCATATCTTACTTTTGATTCAAATTCAAATAAATTAATATTTTGTCCCTTTAGGACGTATGAGACCATGGCTTTCCAAAATTTATTTTACAGAAAAACCTCTCATCTACAGCCCTCCCACATCAACGTACTTCGGATGCAACGGACAAAATTTGAAGGAAAAAAAAAACTGCAGGAAAAAAAAAAACTTCCAAATCATCAGCGATGTATTTCAAAATTTGCGGGCTTAGCGGAACGAGTCGTATTAGTTCTCAAAGTGACCGCTTGGCGGCAGTGGCGGCCCTTTCAGATGTAAACAAAGACGGAAAGTACGATACATTAGCGCGTGCGTGAGAAAGTAGCTGTGAGAAATCTATTAGTTTTGTTATTTTGATTAATATATCTATATTAAGTATATATTTATTTATGCCATATCTACATGTTTATAGTATTTACATTATGAACTACTGGCAGTTACTATAGTGGTTTTATAACTCAAAAATAATCCCTTCCCATCTATGGACAATCAGCTTTAACGGACCACCCTCCCCACTATTAGTCCGTTGATGGGAGGTTTGTCTGTACTTTATTATTTGCGAATTTTCATAATTGTTCTTTGGAAAGATAGCGGAATGTTTTTGTTTTCCGCTGCCTTCTCAACGGGTAGGAATTTCGAGTGTTACCACCCATGTCTAGAAAGGCTCGTCTACATTGTTATTTAACAATAGTAGCAATATTAAAAATATTAAAAACAATATTTACATAATAGACAAAACGTTACCAGAATTTTTTTTCTGTCTAAGTATAGACAATAATCTTTTTTAACCAATAATCTTATTTAACTACCATATCCCTTCAGGACGTAGGCGATCATGGCTCTCCACATATTCCTCTTCATGTTATCTATGAAACGCAAAGATAGTGAAGCGGTTTCCTGTCGTTTTCTCCACGGCTTGGTGTTCAGAGCTTAGCGTCTCTTAGATTGGTTGCCACCTTAAGCTAGCTAGTCGATGTCGAAGGAGAGATGGTTTCATGCCTTTCCCAAAGGAATTCCGAACACAACAGACTCGACTAGAATTTGAACCTGGCACATTGATTCCACTTTCTGCGCCGATAACCGTTACATCTACCCACACATCAAAATAATAATAATAATAATTGCACTCGATGAAAATAAAACCGAAAAAAATGAGGGCAAGAAGGAAAGAGAAAAAAAGGAGGAGGAACGAAAGCCTGTCTGCACACTTAAAGTCGAAAAGTTAGTGACCGTAATGAAACCTGAACTGCCCTGACTTCCAATCGAAATGAACGAGGAGCAAGTTAGATGACTGCTTCCGAGTGGTTAACTTCTTTAAGAGTTGAGGCGGTGAAACCTTTCTGCTCTTTCTCCAGTGTCTCAAGGGATATCCTATTTGGTGTGAGCTAGACAAATACGCTAAAATATGTTTTTACAAGGGAAAGTGCTTTGCCCTGGTCTCAGTTGATAGGGGTCACTAGCGAGGCTAGCGACCTGGGCATCTGGTCAGCCGGCAGATATGACACAAAAAGGTGATGATAAGTGAGAGAAGTAAGTTCAAAGCGTGCCTCAAAGAAATCTCGAAAGGATATCGCGAGAAGTCTCGAACGGGTCAAAGACATTTTATGTCAACGGTTTAAAAATATAAAATCAACCAGAAAATGTGCTATTCACTCACAGTGAAAAGAGGAGAATTGAAGTATGTATTACATACGTTTGAACGCTTAGGTTAAAGAATTAAATCCCCTCCCCACAAAAAAATATTATTTTAAGCTATCAATATTCAAGAATGGGAGCCACGGTGGAGTAATGGAAAGCGGTTCCGATTTAGGAATCGGAGAGCCGAGTTCGAATTCCAGTCGGATGCATTACATTCAAGGACAGAAGGTATGAATGGAAATGAATAATGGGAAAGGTATGGCTTCTCTTCTTCTCCCCTCAGCTATGGGTAAATAGCAGAAGAGACTGGGTTCTATAACCTTGGATGGCAACCGGTCTAGAAGGAAAAACCTCTGAATTCAAAACCGTCCTAGAGAGGGATGGGCTCCGTCAGGTTATCTTGCACAAGAATCACCACTTCTACTGTGGCTGCAGTACACATGGTGCCTCTACGATCCTACGGGTCACGGGATAAAAAAATCAAGAAATTAGAGTTGAAAAATATTCAGATGATTTCCTTTAAACAGCTCAAAATTGCGTTTTATCTCTAATTATACCTGCGGTATTTTGTCACCCCCCTACCAAAAGCTGATGGCGAACAATAGAACCAGAAGAAATACAGTAATACAAAGCACATGTACCGGATTCACTTTCATTGACGCTGTCACACATCGAAAAGGTCTGTATGAACACTGTCATATTCGTGTAGGAGCTCGTGTCAGCCATCTGAAACAGAAAATTATATTATGTACGGGTGACAAGACATTCAGACCATCCTGTATATCAAAAATTTAGGCGACAAAATCCCAGGCTCTTATTCCAAAAGTGAACAAAATCCCAGTTTCATAAATAAAAGTCTCATATATATTTATACCAACGGCTTTCCATATTTCATACTTCTACAATTCCCTCTCGCGTGGTCATGTGTGACGTCATGAGATGCGGTGCGATTTTCGCTTCTAGCGTCTTATATGCACGTGTTTATCGTTGCTTAGAAATCATCTATGTAAACATTGACAGACTATCATCACTGTCTTGTCCGTATATTGCTTAATATGTTGTAATTAACATCTTTGATAATGGCTTAAGTAAGCCGAAATTGTATTAAAAAAAATATGGATCACTATTGTGAATTTCTTTCTTCGTTCAACGATAATGTTATTAAACTTATCAGACGTTATGAAAAAAATTTACATAAAATAAATAGACAACACTTGTCTATATTATTTAATGAAACGTGTATGAATGAAAAGATGCTTCCTAAATACACAATATATATATATATATATATATATATATATATATATATATATATATATATATATATATATATATATATATATATATAAATATAATAAGTCTCATATATATATATATATATATATATATATATATATATAAATAAAATCAACGTATAGGATTGGTATACACGGAATAAATTCCAATAACCAACAAATACTATTCTTAAAAGAGTGCTCAATACAGAGTAGAGCAAATATAATAATTTATTCGAAAATTATAACATAAATAAGTTATAAAATCACTACAAAAATAGCCATTTTGTTTCAAAACTTCTAGTGTCTTGTCAAGGATGGTGTTGAATGTAGAATACCAGAAGTGTTGAAACAAAATGGCTATTTTTGTAGTGATTTTATAACATTTTTTATGTTATAATTTTCGAATAAATGATTATATATATATATATATATATATATATATATATATAGAAGACTACTACAATTATATCAGTGAAAGGCACACTTTCAGCTGCCCCTGATAATTCTTTTGGTCGCCTCTTTCTACCGAATAACCATTTGACTGAACGTATCTCCAATAATTTAAATGCGCTAAAAATTAAAACTACAATCTACTAGAACTATCCGTAGTTTATTAAATAACACCAGCAACCAACATATTACATCCGATGCTTGCATCTACCAAATCTCATGCAACATTTGTGACTTAATCATAACTAAATCTGATCATAATTTTGATTTTGATTCTGTGAAGATTTTAAAATAGATTCATAATAAAAATCTTAGACGGATTTATGAGACAGGCATAATATCTATCTCACGCACGGTGAATACTAGACCCGGCTTCTTTAATATTTCCCCTTTTCTGGCAAGATTAATGCTGGACAAATGTACTTATATATTTTAGATTAAAATAAAATTCTTTTTCATTTAAAATATACTCTATTTTAGGAATACGTTTTCACAGCATCGCCCACGTGACGCCGACGTGATCGTATTGCGAAACGGAACGCTGATCTTAAAAATTTCAGTTATTCTGTTTTGATTAGTCTTATGTCTATCGTCTTTTCATGTTGACTTGAATATCGTCTAATTTTAATTATGTTTTAATAACTATGTTCTGAAGAAGGTCTTCTAGACCGAAAAGTCTGACGTCGATATGAAACAACATTAAAACAGCATACTTGCATATTCGGATTTTTGTTTGTCCATATTTTTCTTCATATATATATATACATCTATATATATATATATATATATATATATATATATATATATAACAAATATATATGCACACACATACACACACACACACACACACACACACACACACACATATATATATATATATATATATATAAAACAAAAGACAAAAGAAATTTAACATTAAAAATTCAAGGAACATTTAATTCAAATTTTCATACTGAGACATTATTAATAATGCCCAATATATACACTTATATATACAAGAAAGTTCTATTTCTGTTAGGTACTTAACGAGTTTATGGGTCCGCTTTGTTTGTAACAGAAGTTTATAGTCAATCGATCCAAGCACTAAAAAACGTTTTCTAATAATGCTACAATCACATATTTGATATATTTCTTATTTAGGGAGTTCTAGTATCCAACTTCATGTGAAGAAAGTCTTAAGAAGGGTACTTTTTGAAGTTTGAGCCAAAATATTAACAAACTACAAAGATCGTATATAAATATAAATATTATGCAGAATTAAGGGTTTAAATAAAGTTTTTGTTCACGAAATAATTTTCTTATACATATAAGTGTATATATATTGGATATTAATATTATTCGAGACGGGTTGATGCCAATCAGAATTGATGGCTGATTGGGTTTATATTTTGAGAAAAATATTTGCTGATGATGATGTAAATAAACATTGAAATTTGTAAGTGAAAATATATTTTGAGTGAAAGTTTTCACCAGATTTACTTTCATATTCTTCAAGTAAAATAAACTAAAACGAGAGGATCTGCTTAAAGAAAAATGCAAATAAAATGTTCAATTGTACTTTTAACACACGGACGTGTATGAAAAATAGACTGAAAAAAAAACAAGGCATTGACAATGAATTTAGGAAAATTCGGTAACGGAAAATTCGGTTATTTTGACAAGGTAGAAAAATTTGGTGACTATGAAAAAGTCGAGTGAAAATTGACTTTAGGGCCGTTCTAGAGTAGGAATTTTGGGGTTAAGCCCCCTCCACTATATTTTTAAATAACTGAAAATTCGTGGGGTCCAGATAAAATCCCACTACAACAATACTAGTGTCGTTCTTGCAGAAGAGTGGCTTAGGGGGTTAGGCCTACTTCCCCTATATTTTTTTTTAAATATTATTAACTATGGGGATTGAGATAAAATCCCACTACAACAATACCAGGGCCATATTTCTTGGAGGGGGCCAGCCCCCTACTTTTAAGTAAGTATTAACTAAAAAATCATGGATTCCAGTCCAGATAAAAGCCCAATACAACAATACCAGGGCCTTACTTTCTGGATAGGGGGTTTAGGGGACTAAGTCCTCCTCCAATATTTTTAAATATATATTTTCTTAAATAAGTGTTCATTTAATTACTATAATAATAATAATAATAATAATAATAGCTGTCCACTCGTATTCGAGGATACCCGTCTATTAGGACGGCTAGCCAATCCCTATTGCATACGCTCGCTCAGACACATTTGTGTTTGTTCAACATCCACAAAGCC